ATACTCTACATTTTACAGGATAGTTCTGTGTGCACAGTCAGTTTGACCTGTAATCCTCTGAGGTGGGTAAGGCCAGTATGAGGTGCCTCATTTTGACATAGGGAAATTGAAACCTGGGGAGGGAACTGCTTGTCCGTGTGGCCAGGAGAGGTACAGCCATGTGTTTTAATTCCTTGTCCAATGTCTCTTTCCTCCACAAAATTTCCATTATCTCCAAAGGATTAAGATCAGCAAGTTGGTACCACTGAGCCAAGTCTCAGGCTGCCTTACTTCCTCTCACAAATAGAACTCGATACAACCAACCTGGAAGGCCCCCGCATGTGAGTGTCGGGGGTCCTATTCACAACTCCGTGTGAGCCTGCAAAGGTCTGTATCTAAGTGAAGAACTGAGGCATCATCTACGTTATTCAAGAGGGGAAAATGTTTTATCCAGAAAGAAAGTCTGTTCCCAGCAATAAAATTCTTGAAATATACACGGTGTGATCTTTTTCAAAGCCTTCCCTTTTGAATGTTTTATATTTCTGAAGCAACAAAAATTTATTTCATCCTTTCAGCCGCAATGTCAGGGTTATTTGCAACTTGTCCTTGGTTTGGTTTACAAATAGAATGGAATTAGTAAAATGTTTTAACTTAGACACAGAACCACCAAGAGCGAGAGGTAAATGTTGCAGATGACCTAATCCACATCTCCAGCAGGTCAGTGCTTAGAATTTCCGCTCCCTTACCATGTACAAATGCAAGTGTATTCGCTAAAGAGACAAGACGGAGAGAAGGACTTCTGCTCCTGCCAGCTCTAGAGGCCAGTTGCTGGAGGTGACAGTCATGAGTCAGTCACTTCCTCACGTGCGTATGGTTGTGACAAGCAAAGCAACACTTCAGGGCCACAAAGGCTTGCGGTACCGATGTCAATATTCGTGTTTACAAATTCATCCTATATCTTAGAGTAAACTTTCACTTTCATTTTATTTATTGTGTTTCAAAGAAAAAAACCTCTCCAGTAAGACAACATACCAGGGACTGGGGATTTAGCTCAGCGGCAAAAGCGCCTGCCTGGCACGCACAAGGTCGTGAGTTCGGTTCCCAGTACCGGAGAAAAACCAAAAAAAGTATCCCTATAAGCCGCAAACAAGCTGTACTGTAAGAAAAAGCCAAAAAGTACCGGAGAAAAACCAAAAAAAAAAAAAAAAAAAGACAACATACCAACATTTGTCAGATTGCTCCACACCCCACATTTGGTACATATGAAATAATTTGTCTAAAGTGCTGTCTTTCTAGGACAACTCCAAACTTGCGCTTTTTCTTAACTTGAATGTGGGATTTTTAAGGGCTTTAGTGTTTACTTTTTCCCTCAGTAATTAATTCTTCTTTGGGAATACATTCCCAGTCATTTTATGCATATGCTAAATTTAAATATGTTAAAAGTATCCATATCTGTTAAATTGCAATCAGCTAGACTATCGACTGCATTATCTAATATTAATTAGTGCTTAACTTTTCTCAAAATCAGCTGAAGAAGTAAAATGACCTCCAAATCTAGCTCTGATTATGGGTCAAGGAAAACCGAAGACCCACGTTAGACCTTCCATTTTGTTCTTTGTCCAAAAGGTTGGAAAATGGCAGCTTAGGTTGTGGTTCAGTGGTAGAGGATTTGCCTAGCATGCGTGGAGCCCTGGGTTAGATCCCCAGCCCTACAAAATTAAAAAAAGACAGTAATAGAATGGATTCATTTGTATTTCTACTGTTTCCTTTCTCTTTAAAGTGATAATATCAGTAAAATGCATCCAAAATTATATGTGGAAAATCTTGAATGTGTATGTCAGTACAAAAGTGATGGCAAAAATTCCGATACTTAAATTGTCCAGAGGTATATTGGCAGCAGTGTGATCTCGAAAGTGCCAGCAGGACCTGCTTCCCTATGATAAGAACATGAAAATGGATGGGATCTGAGCAGTGTTTCCTCAGGAATACTTTAGTGATGGATACTGTAGGTGTTGCCCTCTCTCCGGCCTCTGAGGGAAGAAGGTCAAGTGAGTGTCCCCAACTTGCCTTTAATGAACCACCTGAATCTCATCCATTTAAATAACCTTCTTGAAAAAAAAAAAAAAAAATAACCTTCTTGATAGTTTCTAAGTTCAGCCTTAACAATCTTCTAGAGTAGATAAAGACAAACTTTTGCTATTGTGATTCACTGCTCTGACTTTTGAGAAGTTAGTTAGTTAGCTAGTCAGTTAGTTAGTTAGTTGTTAGTTAAGGAAGAGAAGGGAGAAAGAAAAAGAATAACCCAGCAACAGAGAAACTTGAATAAAAAGAACAGGAGTTGATACCACACAACAAGATATTTTGACCCAGAGAGGTTAGAATGACACCGGGCCACATCCTGCGAGGACACACACACGTGACCAAAGCAAAGCTTTACTGGGGAGAGGAGGAAAGGGCTTCACCAAAATCAGAACTTTGGCTGAAGGAAGAAAGCCAAGAGAGTGTGATCAAGCTGCTACACCCAGAACAAAAAGAGTAAGTTTTTATTTATTTGCTGGGGTGGACTAAAGTCCAGTGATTTCCATTACCTAGAGGTATGGTTTCGAAAGATCTTTTTTCTTTTCATCGACTTGGGGCCAGAACTGTGGCCGTGATCAATATGCCTCACCACCAATGCTGTAGTCATGGTCAGCTTATCCTAGAGGTTGTTGAATTGTCCTAGAGGTTGCTGAATTTCCAGGTACTCTACCTGGTGCTATCGTCCTGTGCAAAGCATCCCAGCCTTGAATTTGGTGGGCTAACAGGTGGTCAGCTTCACTCAGAATCTGCTAACCTGTCCTTCCACTGGTGTCATTTCCAGGCCTTGCATAAACATCCGGGTCTTCTGATAGGGCTGAAAGGCTGCCAGTGCTTGAGCTGCTGAGGAAGCCCTGAGGGGTTGGAGTACAAGAAGCACAGAGCAGCCCCTTTGGCAACAGGCCAAGCTAACCCAGTGTCACAGTCGTGAAAAAATACATTTTAAGTGATCAACACATCTACCTGCTGATCTGAGTAGACTCTGATTCCAGGGTTAAGACAGCAAAGGAGACAGACAGACTCTGAAGACAGAGGTACCAACCCTTTATCTGATTTCAGCCGCCCATGATTTCCAGGCCGAAGTGAACAGTCAGTGTCTTCAGCACATGTGACCTTCAGGTCCCTGGGAAGTAACCTAGGCAACTGTTCTCATGCACCCCAAGTCGGAGGTGGGAAAATGATACCATATTGCCCACATGTGTGACCTCTGCAATCAGTGACGAGCGGCTGCTCAAGAGCAAGTGAAACCAGGGAGCTTATTTCGGCTTCTTTTCTTGGAACAATTTCTCATTTCAAACAAACATCCTACTTCAGGGGTTTCATCAGGGTCTCAGGACGGGTCTGTTGAAAGATGCCACGCTGTGAAGGGTCACAGTTTACTGCACCCAGGACTTTATTTTGTCACCTGAGGCTTTTGTCCCTCCACTATTGCACCATGGAGGTCCCTAACTGTCTTAGGAGAAAGAAATCAGAAGTCCTGATGTTGTACAATAATTTTTTCACAGTTCAGTGTTTACTGAGCTGTGGCCTCAAAACATTAACCCTTGCCCTTTAAAATGTCTACTAGATTCTGATGTCTAGATAAAGTAGTCACTTTCAGGATATGTTTTCAGAGCTAATATAGTAACTGAGACCAATGACATCTCCCAAGGTCACGGGGAAAAGCCAGGTGTAACCAAGCCAGACCTAACCTAGGTATGAGAGGTTTCTTACTCCACAAAGAATTGTGCGTTCCAGACGGGCACAATCTTTTCTAAGCAAAACTATGCTTCCTTGCTTGCTCTCAAGCATAATCTTCCCATTCTGCTTCATAAATTTTAGAACTGGGTAACAGTGAGGAAGTCCCTTCTTGCACTCTCTATACCTTATAAGCTTTTACAGATTTCCCATGTACCCATTCTTCCCCTTGTCTTACTGAGGTCCTGGGTCATTTCTTCCTCTAGCCATGTAGGTATCTTTCACTCATTTAGCAATGTCTATGCATTGGGTAATCTTTGAAGCAACCATGAAGTAGCTCTGATCATTGCCTTCCTGCACCAGATTTGTAAACTGAGACAGACAGATTAAATAATTTTCCCAAAGTCAGAAAACAGAGCTCAGACTGCCTAATTCCCAAACCCAGTCACTTGATCCTCTTATTTCTTTCTGAGCTCTGCCCCTTTCCTTCCAAGCCTGACATTGTGCTGCTATCTCCTCTGCCTCGAAGGTCTGTCCTGTGCTGAGATCACTATGGTCATTCTTCAAGCTCGTCTTTGTGAAACCTAGCCTGCCTGAGGAAAGTTAGTGCACATCCTTCTTTTCCAGCAAGATACTAGGCAGGAGTCCACACATCCCAGGACAAATGTCATGCTGACTTGGACCCAGTATCAGCATTCGCCACATAAACAAGCACAGTCTAAGGAGAAGCATTGCTGTACTGTGTGCCATATTCTCTCTCTACATTTGTGTTCTGCACTTGTGTTGTTAGTTGAAGAATAAAACTTCCAAAAATTATGAATCCTGTCTAGCTTAGGCAGCATGCAAGACAATCCACTTAAGGAAACATAAACCAGGTAGTTAAGACAGAAAAAATTACAGGTAGCTAAAACAGATGATCACTCCCCAAAAAGCTATTCCAGCCATATGGAGCCCTCATCCAAATGGTGGAAACCCACACAGATGTGTCCAAGAACAATAGTGGAGGAGGGGTGAATCCTTTTTTTTTTTTTCAAATTGCTTCGTTCCTGGAATTTAAATACACGTCAGGCTTTTAAGTGAAATGAACTGGTAAAGAGTAAGTGTATTGATATTCATTAGGGAATTTCAGGTTGTCACGTTACCCACATTAAAATAACTTGGAGGATAACTTGGATTCCACGTCACTTAAAGAGTCAGCGATCCCTATGTTACCCAGCTGCCTATGCAACTACGAGGGCTTGCTGACTTGACTTTCTTGTCTTTTCCAGATCTTGGCCATCGTGTCGATCTTGTTCATCGTACTTTCCACCATTGCTTTGTCTCTCAACACCCTCCCAGAGCTGCAGGAGACAGACGAATTCGGACAACCCAATGACAACCCCCAGCTAGCGCACGTGGAGGCTGTGTGTATCGCTTGGTTTACCATGGAGTACCTTCTGCGGTTCCTGTCCTCACCAAATAAATGGAAATTCTTTAAAGGCCCACTCAATGTCATTGACTTGCTGGCCATCCTACCGTACTACGTCACCATCTTCCTCACGGAGTCCAACAAGAGCGTGCTGCAGTTCCAAAACGTGAGGCGTGTGGTCCAGATCTTCCGGATCATGCGCATCCTCAGGATCCTGAAACTCGCGAGACATTCAACAGGCCTGCAGTCTCTTGGGTTCACCCTCAGGCGGAGTTACAATGAACTGGGCCTGTTGATATTGTTTCTGGCCATGGGGATAATGATATTTTCCAGCTTGGTATTTTTTGCTGAGAAGGATGAGGATGCTACCAAGTTTACCAGTATCCCTGCATCATTTTGGTGGGCCACCATCACCATGACCACCGTGGGCTATGGTGACATTTACCCAAAAACATTGCTAGGGAAAATTGTGGGAGGCCTCTGCTGTATTGCTGGGGTTCTGGTTATCGCCCTCCCTATCCCAATAATCGTGAACAATTTTTCTGAGTTTTACAAGGAGCAGAAACGCCAAGAGAAGGCGATTAAGAGGAGAGAGGCTCTTGAGCGGGCCAAAAGGAATGGGAGCATCGTTTCCATGAACTTAAAAGATGCCTTTGCTCGAAGTATGGAACTGATCGATGTGGCTGTCGAGAAGGCCGGGGAGTCAGCCAACACGAAGGACTCAGCCGATGACAATCACCTGTCTCCAAGCCGGTGGAAGTGGGCCAGGAAGGCTCTGTCGGAAACAAGCTCCAACAAGTCTTACGAGAATAAGTACCAGGAGGTTAGCCAGAAAGACTCCCACGAGCAGCTGAACAACACTTCCTCCTCCAGCCCCCAGCACCTGAGCGCCCAGAAACTGGAGATGCTGTATAACGAAATCACCAAGACACAGCCCCATTCTCACCTGAACCCGGACTGCCAAGAGCAGCCGGAGCGGCCCTCTGTGTACGAAGAAGAGATAGAAATGGAAGAAGTAGTGTGCCCGCAGGAGCAGCTGGCCGTGGCACAGACTGAGGTCATCGTGGACATGAAAAGCACCTCCAGCATAGACAGCTTCACCAGCTGTGCCACCGACTTCACAGAGACAGAGCGCTCCCCCCTGCCGCCACCCTCTGCCTCTCACGTGCAGATGAGGTTCCCCACTGAGCTCCCGGGGACAGAAGAGCACCAAAGAGCCAGGGCCCCTCCGTTTCTCACACTAAGCAGAGAGAAAGGGCGGGATGCCAGGGACGCCACTCTAGAATATGCCCCCGGTGACATACCTGTGAACCTTGGCCCCAGTGTGCAGTGCGGGCTACACGGCCCTTTGCAGGCTGACAGCACCACTGACAGCCCCAAGAGCTCGCTGAAAGGCAGCAACCCACTCAAGTCCAAATCTCTCAAAGTAAACTTTCAGGAAACCAGAGGCAGTGCTCCCCAGACCCCTCCCAGCACAGCCAGGCCACTGCCAGTGACAGCAGCTGACTTTTCTCTCCCCACCCCGCAGCACATCAGTACCATCCTCCTGGAAGAGAGTCTCCCCCAGGGAGAGAGACCCTCGCTGGGCACTGAGGTCTCAGCACACTGCCAGGGACCTTCCAAAGGGCTGTCCCCTCGCTTTCCCAAGCAGAAACTGTTTCCTTTCTCTTCGAGAGAGAGGAGGAGCTTCACTGAAATAGATACCGGGGAAGATGAAGACTTCTTGGAGCTCCAAGGGGCAAGGCCAGACAAGCAGGCGGACTCCAGCCCTAACTGCTTCGCAGACGCGCCCAGTGACGTGAGAGACCCTCTAAGAGAAGAGGGCTGTGCGGGCGCTTCTCACCCCCAGAACACGGGTCACAACTGTAGGCAAGACATTTACCATGCTGCTGGTGAAGTGAAAAAGGACAGTAGTCAAGAAGGGTGCAAGATGGAAAACCACTTGTTTGCCCCAGAAATTCATTCCAACCCAGGAGACACGGGTTATTGTCCCACACGAGAAACCAGCATGTGACTAGTTACAAAAGCAATAATAATAATAATAATAATAACAAAAACTTGTTTCTTAAAAGCGATTAATAATGCCTGTGAACTAAACCATGGGAAGCCCCTCCCCCCACATAAAGCGCATAAAATGTTATTTTTGCATGGCATGAGCAATTTAGTTTAAGCACTGTTTAAATAAAGAGTCAAGACTGCATTTTGTAACAAACAAAAACAGCTGAAGAACAGTGAACCAATAAAGAGCGCTCTATTAGGAACCAGTACTCCGCAATGTTTGACATTTTTGATCCTTTCATTTCAAATCGTAGGCAGATCAAGTTGTAGCATTTCTGTTGCAGTGCATCTTAGGATTTGCACATGGAAGGATGAAATGTCATTGCATGCATTCGTAATCAGGAGGAGTAAGGTGCCTTTGAGCTTGCAAAAATATGCATTAAGTGTAAGTAATGGGGCCTGGATGCGCAAGTGTCCAAGAACATGCGGGAACGAGTTTCTGAGACACCATACTTCCTTCCTAGCTACCGCCTGGGGGCGCTGTGCAGACTTCCTGTTGTAGAAATGCAACCTCTTCTCAAGCCGTCTCCTACATCTTGCTCTGGGTTGTAAAGCTCTTATAAAAATATTTGTTTAAAGGAATATAGTATTTTTATTCATTTGTGATATAATTCATAGGGTACGCGTTTCTGTTTTGCTTCCGCTTAGTTGTGGCATTTGTGAATGTACTTATAAATCATGGAAATGGGCAAGATTTAATGACCAGATATCACAATATTTGGAACTTAAGCTTGAGATTTTGCCGTTAAATTATATATCATGCCACAGCCTAGCACAGTAACTGCGTTTTTTAAAAACTGAACATATACGAAAGGTTATATCATAGTGAAAAGCTTTTTTAAAAAAGGACACTATATTTGCAAATTCATTCTTTTTTAAAAAAACTGTATTCTGGCCCTCTAAATACAAAAACATTTTCCTCTTATATTCCACATAAACTTTTCTAACTAAAGGAATAAAAATGCAAATATGCCAAAATGAGTGTTCCATTAACATGACTTTTGACAAACTAAACTAAAAGCAGGGTCGTTTCAAGAGACTGCCACCGCCCTTTATAGACACAGTTCCAACATGAGCGACCATGAAAACAGGCCAGGGCCGGTGATGGGTCACTCAGCATTTCTCAGTGTGGGGTGGGAGGATGGGAAGGTACTGTTATTTGCTGAAAGAAGTGCATCTTTTTGCAGGTGAATTTTGCCCCAGCCACCAGTGGCTGTAGCACCCTCAATAACTGCAGAAAATAAAAACACTCTCTTAGGTGTGCACACACCACCCTCCCCGCAAGTGATCAGGACTATGTTGAAAGCTTCTTCCAGCATTTGTTCCCTAGCGCAGTGAAATGCAGATGGGGGAAGGTGCTGGCTGGAGGCGGCCCTGGTGATGAAGTCTGGGCTGGAACCTGGGTCATCCCATCAAACTTGATTCTCAGGAACCCAGCCTGAGCTTGCCTAGGTGCAGGCTAGTAGATACCTGATCTTGGCGAAGGCCCTACATCCCCTCTGGGTCTCAGGTTCACCCAAATAAAAACCAAAACAAAATTATCTGTAAGCTCCCTTAGGACTTCCAGTTAATGTGATTCCCTGTCTCCCAGGAACACCCAGGCTTTGCCGCCAGGGCTCCTACTCACGTGTTCTGCTCTTGTACGTTCGCAGTTCAGTGAAGTTGAGGAAGTGCTGAGCTTATTAAAACACGGCTTCTTGTTTAAAAGAAAGCTATTCTGATTTTTATTTTATTTTTAAAAGAAAAACAGGGAAACTAGTTCAAATACTTAAAATGAATCTAACTTAAACCTTTAACATCCTTTATTAACAGAACCTGGTCATTAAATCTCAAGCTAAGCAAAAGAGTTTTGATCTTAGTTGAACTCCAAGAGGCCCTGCTGCTACAGATAATTTAAAACACTGCTCTTTTTTTCACTGTGCTAAGAATTGAATGGTTATCATGTTTGTTTCAAAACAGAACCTTTAAGGGTTTATGATCATTAATCGTTGATATTTACATTACTCATACTTGAGTGTCTCAAACTAAATGTTGATCAGTTTTGTAAATCTAGAGTGTTTGAATTTTCTATACCTAGTTTTTCAAAGTCAAGCAGGTATATCTGCTGTTAGATGAATAGCAAATACTTTGTGAAAATCGTGTCTTTACATAGTCTCATGAAGCAGTTACTTTCTGTCTCTTACAGGTGAATCTCAATTTTTTAAATTCATTTGGCAGGATAAGTGGACTTATCTTTTTGCCCTCCCGACTGACTAATCCCCACCTTTCATGCGTCTGCTAGGCCTTCTCCTGAGAACCCTGCTCAAGAATATCAGCAACCTTGTCCAGTTGAGGAACCCTTGACATTCCTCTCTTGGAAGCATTCTCTCTAAAGTGTGCTTCTTCAGTCTAAGTTCTTTGTTTCTGTTTTGAAGTTTTAAAGAATTTTCAAAAACATCCTATGGAAGGATAACCCTTTAATTCTTCTTAATTTCCGTGGGCCAAAACCTTTAGCTAGGGAAGAAAGAAAGGGAGGGAGGGGGAAAAGAAGGAAAAAAGAAAGACAGCAAGGAAGGAAGGAAGGAAGGAGGGAAGGAAGGAAGGAAGGAAGGAAGGAAGGAAGGAAGGAAGGAAGGAAAGGAGGGAGGGAGGAAAGAAAGAAGGGAGGGAAGGAGGGACGTTTTCTTTTAAAAAATTTTGGCTCTGGTATTTCAGTCAGGCAGTTGGAGACAGGGTCTCCCGGCATGTACCTGTGCAGTGTTTTCTAAGCTTTTCCAATGAACTAACTGCACATAACTCTGGGAATAAATGTGCATGCCTAGAAAGAGCTGGAAATAATACCTACCAAGTACACGGCTCTTTTAAAGTTTTATGTTTTACATTAAAAATTTAGGTCGATCCTGCATTTTACTCCATGATATATCTGTTGTCAATATTTTAAATGAAGTTTTATATTACTTACCAGCTAGTAAAACTGATACTCTCACAACTTTAAATACTTGTTTTGCACTCCCTGAAAATTGCATCGACAGTTGGAGCATCATTACCTGAACAGCAGGAACACAGAGATTGGTGCCTTGAGACTTCTGCGAGTTTTTGCTGCTGACGGAGTTCGTTCACCATTACCTAGCTAAGTGTCCAGGGACAAATGTCAAGAAGTAAAGACTAAGGGCCGGGGATTTAGCTCAGCGGCACAGCACCTGCCTGGCAAGCACAAGGTTGTGAGTTCAATTCCCGGTACTGGAAAAAAGCAAAAAAAAAAAAAAACAAGTAAAGACTATCTGAGTGACCTCAAAGTCACATAGTCCTTTGAATGACTAATCTGATTCTTTCAGCTTTCTTGACAACCAGTGCAAATCGCCACAAGATTGTTTTAGCTCAAAGACTGAGAGCAATCTAAGAGGACTGACATGGGCACAACAGAGCATGTCGTGGCCAGGCCCACACACAGACAAGCACAACATACCGAGTAGGTCCCTGAATTTCACTTCGTTAGTCTCTAAACATCTCATGAAAAATTTCTTTACTTCAAACCTACTGCTTTGAAGTACACATGTGATCAAGCATTATCCTGATGTGATGAGACTTAGTAACCAAAAGAATATGGCAAGTATCCGTTCCTATTAGTTTTTTGTTAACAACCTCACTGTCGTGTAGACACTGGCCAAGTTAAAAAGTTAAAAAGTTCAACCACTTAGTCTTGTTATTTGAATAGAAGAAAACCGTATGTATGTAGAGTCCTTTACACATTCTTCTTACACACAAACCTTCTGAAGTATTGATACAGCATACCAGCGGTTTTGTCCTTTATTCAAGTTCATACAGATCACAGGTGAACAGTGGCACCTGGCCTCAGCCACGTCATCTGGCATTAAGTCTAGCATCTAATAAATTACTGGAAAGTACGTTTACATAAAGTGTTTTATTCTATTAGTGTTCAAAAGTATGTAAATAAAAAGGCGGTACATTTATAGCCGTGTAGTTTATTTAAAGCCGCAGTAAACATGACAAATAAAATGAATTGAGATAACTGGCACGGGCCATGTTTAGCACATACGCTTGCCAGTTCAGAATTCTGGCCAGAAGATACACATCCCTTGGCTGAAGAGAATTCATCATTCACGTTGTGATACGACATGCAGCATCAGGCAGAGAGCCGCAGCGAGTCATGTGATCTTCTGAAACAAAAGTGAATAAAACTTTAGAAGTACTTCTCAGTTCAAAAATATTTTATAGAAGAAACAGCTGATGAAAATATATATATCTATATTTTCCGGGGGCCTGGGGATTTAGCTCAGCGGCACAGCACTTGCCTGACAAGCATGAAGTCATGAGTTCAATTCCCTATACTGGAAAACAAAACAAAATTTCTAATTTAATTTGATCATCAGTTCACTGAAAATTCATTCAGCAAACACTAACTGAGCATCTTTCTGTTTGGTACTAGACACTGTTACTTAGTGCTAGGTTAAAACTCTCCTGCCCCACTAGAGCTTGCTGCCTAGTAGCCCATTAATACTGAGTATGGTTTGGGTGACTAGAAAATGTCACTTCTAAAGATGGAAAAATCACTCAATGACCAAACTAGGAGAGCATATGACAGGCACAAATGGTATTATTTTCCAAAGAACTGTTTTTCCTAAAAAATAGATAAATGGTATGAACCCTGATACATAATACATTTTGAATAAGTTTAGTTTGCATGCTCGAAATAGTAAATGGTTAATTTGATTGAGTGAGGTCCTGAGTTTCCTTTCTTTATCTGACAAATTCAGTAGTTTTTCAGGACTAGGAAGGTAACTCAGTGGTAGAGCTCTTGCCTAGTATGCAGAAGGTTGTGGGTTCCATCTCCAGCACTGGAAACAAAAGCAAAAAACAAAAAATAACTTTTCGGCTAGATAAACTGCTTGTCAGAATAGCTAATAATAGTCTACCAAAAATAGCTAGAGTAAATAAAACTAATGGGAGGAGCTGGGGATTTAGCTCAGCGGCACAGCACCTGCCTGGCAAGCACAAGGTCATGAGTTCGATTCCTGGTATCAGAAGAAAAACAAAATAAACTAATGGGACAGTCTATAAGTACGTTTGCAATTTTGATAGTCAAATGATTACAACTGAAGCATTTTAATGCTTTCTCTTACTTTTGTTTATAAGCAATATTTTAAGAATGTATTATTATCTTCTGTTCATCTCTTCAATATCCAAAACTTACTTAGCTTGACTCAAGGGATTTATTTTATA